GAATCAATTACTTCTTATGTACCTTACAAATGTTGAATTTTAATTCTTTATTGAAAATTGGAAGGGGCCTGTTGGTCGAATGGCTAGAAAACTGGCGCTCGATACCACAGGTTTCGGCTTCATGTCCTGGCGGTGCCATGGTTGTTTGTAGCTGTTCAGAATCCTCTGTAAGCCGTAGGTTCCGGTCTCATAGGGTCGTATAGTGTTATGGAGGTAGTGTTACTCCGCGTCCGTTGCTTTTCTTCAAGTTCATGGGCCCCCTGGGTAGTGCTAAATGAGTAACAGTGAGTTAGTCAGTGCAGCCCATTTGGGCTGCTCACAGTAAAATGGTCAAACGTAATTAAAAAGCGAATGGTCTTCGGCGTAATTAAAAAAATTGAAAATCGAAGCATAAATTGAAACATTCTATTATCATTTTTTTAAATTGCAAATCTGATGGCAAAATTGTGATTGAATCTGAATAGTGTTTTATTTTTTTTTTTAAACATTTTTACAGGATATTTAAATTTTACGCCATTTAAATTGTAAGATATAAATTTTTTTCTTGCTAACCGTTTTCATAGAAAGAATAACCTTGTGGTTTGCACTTGCCAGCAGTTCTGTTTCATCTACCAGAAATGGGGAGCTTACTCCTTCAAATTTTGTCCAGGAGATTTCTGGGAGATGCACTTTTGATCTCATTTGCAGTTGGCAAGAACAGGAAGAATCTTTGGGAACTTCTTCTTTGCGGTGGGGGAAAGTTAGGGAAAATAAGTTCTGCTGTATGTCCAATTCTATTGATACATTTATTCTGGAATACAACAGTTTTGTCTTTTGTCATGGGATTATGTTTGAACGAACTACGCAAACTGATTGGCTATAATAAAAAATAATTTGAAAAGAGAATATTTCATATGTTTAGAATCATGGGATAATCTTAAAATCCAAATTTTGAAAAATATATAGTTTTCGGAATTATCGTAACGTCTCATAATATTTTGTATTTTTTTTTATGTAAATGGGGACCAGATGACCGAATGTTTGACTCTCGGTACCACAGGTTTCGGTTCGAGTCCCGGAGGTGCCACGACTGTTTGGAGTGGTTCGGAATCCACTTTAAACAGTGGCTCCCTTCTAGTATGGCTGTAGAGCGTTGTGCATAGGGCTGACAACTCTAATCAGTAAAAAGCAGACACCTCCTGTCTCGAAATCTGCCAATAGGCAGACGGCCTTGTCCCACCTAGGGGTGTCGCGCAATTGATGATGCCATATTATCGTTCGTATTACAAAAAATTTTCTTTTATTTTGTATTAAGAACAAAGTGTGCAAAATGGGCACCAGTTCTTTTAAGGTATTTCTATTGTGCACTTTGCAATTTTTGCAAAAATATATGTGCTGGTTCTATTAAAGTTCAGAATTATCTGTTCTGCGAAGGTCGTATTTAATTTTGATGTTTTTGAGCATGAGGGCCGAGTGGCTGGTGCTCTAACGCTCAGTATCATAGCTTTCGGGTTCGAGTAGTGGTTCGGAATCCACTTTAAGCCGTAGGTTCCGGTCCCATAGGATTGTAGAGCGTTGTGGGGGTAGTGTGACTCACGTTCGTAGCCTATCTTTAAGCAGCACGTACCCCTGGGTAGTGCTCAATGAGCGAAATCGGTGCAGCCTTTGCTGATGGCAGAAAGATGAACTGTCTCTGTCTTGCCAGCTGCATTAGAATAATATTTGTATGTAAATTGTGATGCAAAATATATATATATATATTATTTATCAACTTTGAGATTAAATTAAAAATTTATGTCCGATGGTGGAGTACTCAAAATAAAAATTTTAATTTATCAATTGGAAAGTTTAACTAAATTTTTTTAATTCTAGAGCAGTGATACCTAAAAATAAAAATTTATATCCACTGGTAAATAATATTCTTCTAAATTATAGAGGAAATCGGACCATTTTCATGACTCAGATAAGCAGTTTACCTTTCCTCGTTTTAAGGGTTTTTAAATTGCATTACGTATTTCTTTAAACGAATTGAAATGTGGTCAACTTGCAACATGTCACGTGAATAAAATAGTTTGGAATGGGCAGACAAAACATACTGCTTGAAAATTTAAGCGTAACATCGGTGACATATTTAAGAAGAATGGGAAAAGTTACTTTGAAGATTATCGTCCAATTAATTGTTTAAAAAATGGGCTAAGACTAATATAATCACCCTGTTTTTCAAAGGAATTATATTCCGAACTGGAAGATACGCTCCTGTGCTTATTCAAATTTATGTCTATTCGGCCATCAACATCTAAGACAGCAAGCACTCTCATTCAAAATGAAATCAATACCTCCTTTAAGCCATGATGCATATTCAACGCACCTCCTTAAAATCAGTTGCTCGTGTTCATCTGCATGCCAAACATGACCCACTCAGAGAGATCGAATCAAAGAGAAACACGAAAAGGCGAAATGAATATTCTTGCACGAATACCTCTGAGTGCTGCAGAGTGCTCATTCAATCCTAAATTTTGATACCAAACACTTTCTACTTTACTAATGTAAAGTTACTTTTATAAATGTAAACACACTTACTGTGTCGTACATAAAAAAGGTGGTCAATTGACATGAAAATCTATAAATGGTGCCCACTTCTTTGATTTAATTATTTTTATAAGAAGCGATGTGATGCGGAATAGGTGCATTCGAAACAGAGCGTTGGAAAAGCACGTTTCTGTTCACGATCTTGACTTGTTCTTAATTCAAGAGACTTTTTCACAACCGGGACAAACACTTATTATTCCTAAAAGGGAAGGCTAGCTCTCTGGGAGTTGGTACCACAGGTTTCGGTTTCGTATGTCGAAGGAGCCATGGATGTTTGTGAGTGGTCAGGAATCCCCTTTAAACCGTAGGTTCCGGTCTCATGGGATCGTAGAGCGTCGTAGGGGTAGTGTGACTCGCATCCATAACCTGTCTTCAGGCTACACGTGCCCCTTGGATATTATAAATGAGTAACAGGGTGCAATCCTCGCTTATGGCATAAAATGGCAGCTGCATTAGAAAAAAAGAGTATCGCATTATTTTTACTGCACTACAATTAACATTTTATCTGTTTCTTCATTTTCTGAAAACACTTTTATATAATTAAACAAATTAAATAAAATATAAATTAAATTAAATCTTAAAAACTTTAAATTTTTGATAAGAATTGAATGCCAAAACCCACTTAGTAGTAGTGCGCCCCACAAACAGCGCTGTTGTGCAAATAAAGCCATAACTGATACAACACTATGGGGGACCTGAGGGCTGAGTGGTTAACTCTCTGGCCATTGGTACCGCAGGCTTCAGGTTTGAATCGTGGTGACGGCCTGGATGTTTTTGAGTGGTTCGGAATCCACGTTAAAAAAGCCTTAGCCTTCGTGTGCGCAAGATGATTGTAGCCGACAAATCAAATCAACACTATAGCAATAGCACGCATAGAATTTTTATCCTATGAGCCCTTTTTTCAACAGATTACAAATAACTTTTACACTTTTTGACAAATTAAGAAGAAAATATTCTTTTGTTTAAACGTATTATCTGTGGTTTTTAAAATTCTGCTGGATGAAAAAAGGCGTATTTTTACCTGAAATATTTCAATTAGGTTCGCAGCAATTTTTATAAATGGTATCACCTTGCGTATAGCTGGAGTTTTAAACAAACTATTGAACATTCAATTATCATCCAAATCTTTGAGAGAGTGCAATGGGGAAGACATCCTTCTTCTGTTTTATCAAAGAAATGCGAAATCCATTTCCCGTTGAAAGTCAGAAGATAAGAAGAATCGGGAAGAAATCGGAATGAATCAAACGATGGAGCAATAAACTTTTTGCATTCTTTTTTTTTTTCCACTGTCCCTCGTAGATGGGTGTCTTCAAGTTGTTTTTCAAGGCCGGGGACTTGAGACATCATTCTTGTTTCTCTATCCGCTGTTATCCAAGGAGATATTTCTCCTAATAATCCATCCCAGAGATTAGAATCTTGGACGTGTTGGAAGAACTTCACAATCACAACAATCTATCCTGCCTATTTCAGAGAGAAAAAGACATAGTGTTTCGTACATAAGCATTTCTATGGGCCACATATACATATATGGGCTTTGTACATATAGTATCGTGATGCTACTTGTTGATATAATGATGATTAAGATATATTAAATTACACTTGGCCAGTATATTACAATGTATCTAAGAGAATCATTCAGATGGTGAGTATAAGCGCTCGCCATCAATATTAAAATACTATGATTTAAAAAAAAAACCATTATGAAGTAAACAAAAGAACAACTCTTCACAATCAGTTCAAATTTGAACTCATTGTGACGAGTGGTTCTTTTGACAGCATTTTTATAAATGAGACTTTAATTATATTCACCCTCTATATATGTTGTTGCTTGTTGTTTCTTATCCCACTTGGCTTAGGGGCGAATTTGGATCCACCTCCTCGTGGTGCCCCCTGGTAACGTCACTTAAGACGGCCAAGAGATCCATACATCTCCGCGGGTGTTTTCGAACACGTTCTATAGCGTGAACGTCGATGCCTTGGGTAAAACAAGCCCAGTCGAGGGCAGCCAAAGGCGGTGGGGTGTTGTACTTATTACATATCACCCTATCCGTGGAGCCGAATAAGGCGGAATCAGCTAGTTCTAGTAGTTTCTGCCGCGTTTCTGGCCATGCAGTTTTCCATAAGCCTTCGGGCAGGTCGGTAAAACTTTATGAGGGTATCCCACTTGGCTGGCCAAGCCCACGAGCCCATACGTACTCATGATTGAAGGGGAAGGAAGCAGCTTCTGTTGTGATGGAGCACCCGTAGGTAGAAGTCTGACTTTGGCTCCGTGACGCTCTTACAGTCATAGGAGACCGGGACCTACGGCTTAAAATGGATTTCGAACCACTACAACCATCCATGGCACCACCGGAACTCGAACCCGAAACCTGTGGCACCTAGCGGCAGAGCGCTAGACACTCGGCCATTCAGGTCCCAAATTTGTGAATGCCAACGGCACGCCGTGTTCCCAGGTGGTCACCCACCCAAGTACTGACGGCGCCCAATGATGCTTGACTTCGGTGATCTAACCCTCTATATATAACAATATATATATGTAATACATAAACAACGTACAAGACAATCCTCAAACTTTTTAATTAAATCACATACTATATTATTAGTAGAGACTTATCCAAACTAACGTATTGAATTCTAAATGAAGTGTGATTTCAGTCGTTTTTTTCTAATTAAGTGCCCCTAAGTATGCGTAAAGTCAATCCGGTTCGGAACAACTTCCTGCAAAAAAAGACTTCGGAAGTTTAAAAATCAATTTCGAGTCCGATAAAGCGTCAGAATGAATCGGAAGTGATTAAAAAAAATTAGAAAAATACGATAGATGACTAACCATTAAATGTCGATTAAGACATATCTCTGGGAAAAAAAAAAATTTCCTGTTCATTAAAAAGGTGCTCTTCGAAGTCAATTTCGGGTTTTTAAACTGAAATTGATTGTTTTACGGGTGGTTTTTTTTTTTTATATTTAGTGCCAGTTTTCTTAAATGACGTTACAAATAGTAATTTTTTAAAACGAATTTTCTTTTTTATATTTGCAATATCCTGAAGGAAACTAAAAATAAGAAGTTTTCAGAAAGATAAACGTGTGCTATCTATACTAATGTGAGACAAATAATAGAAATAGATGATGAATAATCGAAAGGATAGGATAAATAGCAGGAAACATATTTGCATACCTCTATTATATATTATAATCAGTGATCTCCTCTAGAGAATGTAGATTTGTTGAAAAACTGGTTTGGTACCTCTTTGTAAGTTTTGGCTCTTGAAATTCTGGATCTCTTTTTCCTAATGCAGCAGGCAATGCAGAGACAGTTCATCTTTGTGGCATCAGTAAGGGCTGCACCGCTGTGACTCATTAAGCACTACCTAGTGCACACGTGTAGCTTGGAGATGGGCTACGACAGCGAGTCGCACTACCCCCGCAACGCTCTACGATCCTATTAGACCGGGACCTGCGGTTTAAAGTGAATTCGAACCACCACAAACATCCATTTCAATGTTGGCAATCGAACCCGAAATCTGTGATACCTAGCGTCAGTCACTCGGCCATCACATCTCCACTTGTACGATATAAATTAAAAAGAATAGCCATACCACGTGATAAAAAATCGCTTTCCTCGTATCATGAAAATCACGGGGAAATTTCCCTCACATAAATTCAGAGGAATATATTATGCCTTAATAGAAATATCACCGACTGATTTCCTTTTAGAACTACTTCGCATGAAATCTCCAAAGCTACCCATTTCTTAAACATACAATCTAAAACCCACAACTTATGAAATAAAATAAGTCTTTCTGAAACTTTTTACCGTCGAACCACTATAAACATCCATGGCACCGCCGAGACTCGAACCAGAAACGTGTGGCTCCGAGCACCAGACACTCGGCCATCAGGCCCCAGTTATTCTATAATTTTAACGAATTATCAAGACTGATTAAGCGAATGCACCAATTGTACGATATAAGTTAAGCTGATGCTACAGAGCCGAACCCAGGCTTCAGGTTCGAATCCTGGCGGTGACATGAATGTTTGTTGGGGGTTCGGAATCCACTTTTAGCTGTAGGCAACGGTCTGTTTAGCCCTCGTGTGCACAAGATGACCGTAGAGCTACAAACCAAACTAATACAGAGCCGAAGCATGTGATAAAAATAACATTTCTCTTAAAATGGAAATTTCCCACACATAAATTCAAGGTAACATATTAAAAACTTCTACATGGACAGAAATATCTCCGATTGATTTCCTTTTAAAAACATTGCATACAAAATCTCCAAAGCTATACATTTCTGAAACTAACAAATCTAAAACACACAACTTATGCAACGAAATAGATCAAACCTGACACTTTTGACTTCTAAACCGATACAAAGTAGACACGGATATTTCACGTTAACATGAAGCATTCCTCGCATGCATTAACAGAGACGCATCGAGTCATTCGGACGGAAATACCACAGAGTGAATACCCCCTCCCCCCTCCAAGAAATGCATCTCTCGCCAGAAACTTTATGAATGAGTGCCAAACTTCCCTCCATACCCCATCCTCCCTTCTAAACAAACAGACTTTCGGAATGAGCGCTCACTTCATTTCAGTTCTCTCTGGAGAAAAGATTCCTCAAATGTTGAAAGATGTTGAGTTTGCGATTTTAGTTTTACGATCGATCTGGTTTCATAAATGGAGCGGATTTCTGTTCGATTCCCAGGAGAGGTGGGAATAGATTCTAAAAGGCTTTCCAGTCTTATTAGAAACGGTTTCTTGTTGATTGAGAAGGAGAGAATTAACGTGGTGTCGAGAATTAAAATATTTCAGGGAAATTTTTTTTTATTTTTAAATGAATAAGATTTGAATTTTCTTATCATTGATTCAGATGGGTGGGTTGGTTTGTGTTTTATGGCACATGAGCCAGATTTGGCCATACTGCAGCCAAACAACAGTGCTTTTTTTTTTTTTTTTTTCTAAATTATAATAAAATAGAATGGGTAAAAGAAGAAAAATTTAATTGCAAGAACAAGGAGCGAAAACCAAGTCAATGTATTACTTTGAATTTTAGGGTATGCGACACCGAGTCCCAGACTCGGTGTCACAGGTTTCGGGTTTGAATCGCTTAGGGTCCATTTACTCTTGTAGTGATTCGAATCCACATAAACCATACGTCCGTTCTAATATAACTGTCCCGTTTATATCACGAAACTATTGAGTATTTTGTTGCCCTTAACTGAAATGATCTAAGTTGGATAATCCGTAGTAGTATTATTAACCTAGAAATCTGTGCAAGTAACATTTTTTTTTTAAATTCGAGGGAATATTAAATGAGCCGTCGATAGTCCTCATAATAAGGTTCTTGCTTGGCCTGAATGGCCGAGTGTCTGGGACTCGGTCCCAAAGGTATCATTTCGAGTCCCGGCGGGGCCATAGATGTTTGTAGTGGTTCGGAATACACTTTAAGAGACGAATATGACGAAGAGGCCTGTTCCAAGTCAGCCCAAAATCCTGCACCATCAACGCTTTCACAATTATGGACGTCTATCGAGACAGCATGGCTCAATATTCCTGCAGAAGACTTCCAACGACCACAAAAAAAAAAAAAGTCCAGGCCACGTCGAGTTGCTGCACTTCACCGGGCGAAAGGTTTTATCTGGCCGACACGATATTAAGAGGTTGTCCCATGACTTTTTTCACTTCAGTGTATTTCACTATTTATTAAATTAATATGTATTTGAAAACACATATAAATATTGCTTTCTTGCTCCTTAATGCGCTATAAATTCTTAAAATTAGACTGTGATGCGTGATCCAAGTGTATGGAATTTCTTTCCCTCTTTTTCATGCAATAAGCATCCAAACAAACCAACAAAAACTGAGCTTATTTGACAGACGATTTTTTCGCATTTAATGTGCGTCATAAATATCGACACAAAATAGTCCCGAAACGTCTCATTAAAGTGTCAGTTAACTATTAATTAGTTTGAGAGTTTGCCTGCCAAGCATCGCAAGAGTGACGTCCATTTAACATTGCTTTGTTGTTATCATTATTAATCTTAAACATGGTTTGTAAAATCTGATGGGTAAGAGAATATCGTTTTTATTATGCAACATGTCATTTTTTGCAGTCCAAGTGAATAAGAAGAATATACAATTGAGTATGAAAAGGTTGATTAAACAAAGCTGCTGCAATTAGTAATAATTTAGTTATTTTTATTAGTAGGCCATTAACAGTTTTTAACGGCGTTAAATATCACAATATACAGGGTGATTGTAATTAAAGTCCCCCTTTCAAAATTCTGTCAAAAAAGAAACACTCGTCAAAAATAAGTTCACATCCGAATTGAAGATACTCGAAGAAAGGTGGAAACGGTACGGCATCCAACTCTCACCTCTCTAGATACCTAGTAAAACTGTAGCTACTTCTCTAGATACCTAGTAGATACAGCTGCCCGCTCTATGCAAAGCGACGAGGGGTAAATGTAGTAATTGCAGTTATAAATCTGGTGCTTATTTAAAAAGAAAATTCTATCCAAATATCCTATTAGGAGAAATAGAAAAATTATAAGCAAGAAATCATATATGTAGAAAAGACACGCGAAATCGTTATTTTGGTGTTCATTTTTCCTATCTATTATTAACTAACAATCTAAGATATTTTATTGCGTGCTTCAAATGAAAATGAAATATATGTAATTTAACGTAAAATTATCCGTGAAAATTTCAAAAAAATATATATGAAGAGCATTTAAAAACAGATATGAAGAGCATTCATGTCTTGTGCTCCATCTCTCGAGAGATTTCCACGGAGAACTGGCAACATTCATCTCCCTCCTATATTCGACCACTTGAGAAACGAGCCGACAGAACTCATCCCAGACAATCCTTTCCCCCGGGGTGATTGCGGATCGCCTGTCGGTCAAAAAAGGCGCAGATAATAGAGGAAATGAAACCAACAATAGTTTTATGGATGCGGCATTTTTGCTACATCTCTATTTCCAGTACTTACAGATTTTTTATTTGTTTTTCTTTTAATTATTGTATTCATTACTGAGTACTGAAAATTCAGTTGAATGGAATTCTTCATAAAAATAAAAATGTGCTTTTTTACAAATTTTCTAATTAACATTCTAATTTAATTCCAAAAGCAGTTTAATTCTCTTGTGCCTGTTTGCTGTTTGTAACTGTTAAATGGAACAAAATAGCGAATGTGTCACATTTATCCCTGATGGCCGATTGGCTGGCGCTCTGGCCTTTGGTACCACAGGCTTCAGTATCGAATCCTGACGGTAGCATGGATGTTTGTGAGGGGATCGGAATCCAAGTTCAACTGTAGGTTCCGGTCTAATTACCCAACGTGAGTACAAAATGACCGTAGAGCGACAAATCAAATTCTCATACCTATGAGTAGCTTCTGAGCTGAAATCGGAAGGTTATCTGTTTTTACATTTTCATTAAACGAATTCATGGCCCAATGAAATTCTGTTTCACTGCCAGGTTTGGTTTGTTTTGTCTCTCTACGGT